CATTATAGGGATCAATTGAATTTTGTATAATGCTTTGGTAAATATTGCTGTTTTGACAATGTTAACTCTTCTGAAACATGAGCAGGGGATATCATTCCATTTTCTCTTGTCCTCTTTTATTTCCTGAAGTAAAATTTTGTAGTTTACTTTGTACAGGTCCTTTACTTCCTTAATTAAGCTGAATCCTAGGTACTTTATTTTAAGGGGCACAAATGTGAACGGGATTGTTTTTTAATGTCACTTTCTTCTCTCTCACTGTTTGTATATAGGAAAGCCATGCACTTTTGGGTATCGATATTATAGCCTGCAACTTTACTATACAAGTCTTTTGTTTCTAGGAGTTTCTTGGTAGAGGTTATAGGGTTCTCTATGTATAGTATCATATCATCTGTGAATATTGAGAGATTGATTTCTTCCTTTCCAACCTTAATGCCCTTAATATCTTTTTCTTGCCTAACCACTATTGCAAGTACTCCCAGTACTATATTGAACAGCAGTGGGGAGAGTGGGCATCCTTGTCTCGTCACTGATCTTAGAGGGAAGGCTTTAAATTTGTCCCCATTGAGTATGATGCTTGCTGTAGGCTTGTTGTAGATGGATTTAACTATATTGAGGAAAGTCCTCTCTATATCATTTTGGAATGGGTTTTCATCATAAAAGTGTGCTGATTCTTATCAAATCCTTTCTCTGCATCTACTGATGTGATCATGCGCTTTTTGTCTTTTCTTTTGTTGATCTGATAGGTTATGTTGATCGATTTTCGAATGGTAAACCATCCTCATATCACTGGGATTAATCCTAGTTGGTCATGGTTTATAATATTTAGGATGAGTCATTGGATTCTATTTGCTAATAGTTTGGTGAGGACCTTTTCATCTGTGTTTGTCAGGGCTATCGGCCAGTAATTCTCTTTCTTTGTGGTATCTCTGTCTGCTTTTGGTATCCGGGTGATATTATCTTCGTAGAAACTGTTCAGACGTGTTTTTGATATTTTAATTTCGTGGAAAAGCTTGAAGAGGATTGGGAATAAGTGCTCTTAAAAGATTTGAAAGAATTCACTAGTGAATCCATCTGGGCCAGGAATTTTGTGCTTGTGGAGAATTTTTATTAGCGTTTCATTTTCCTTGATGGTGAAAGGTCTGTTCAGGTATTTCACGTCTTCTTGATTCAGCCTTGGGAGGCTATAGGAATCTAGGAATTTATCCATTTCTGTGGGAAGCCAAGAGCCCTCTCATAGACCCTGGCCAAGAGCCCTCTCATAGACCCTGGCCATGGTTCCCATGTCTGCTTGGGACAGACATTGGTGACAGTCTCCCAGGGCTTCCTGACCTCAGTGGATGCCTGATCTATAGCAAATAACATCAGGCTGACAGTTATCTAATCTGGCCTTATCTATAGTAACCTCCAGGATGCATCTACTGCCCTAAGACCCTTTGATATACAAATATAAAGCTCAGGATGCACCTACTGCCATAAGACCCTTTGATGTACAAATGTCTACCTTGAATGTTGGTAAAGCTCTTGTTGCTGACCTTACCATATATGGTTATATTGCTTCTGCTCCTGACTGAGCGGCCCGGACCCTATATAAACAGCCTGTATCCCTCAATAAAGCCTGTCCCTTTTTTTCTCTGGTCCTAAACTGCACTCTGTCTCTTGTGTCTCGTGTTCATTCGGTTGGTACCTCCTTGCACCATCGGATCAATCCTCGGGCCACCTCCGCGGGCCAGAGAGTGGTTACTGGGGCCCCCTGAACATTTCCTCGAGGTTTTCCTGTTCTGTGGCATAAAGCTTCTTAAGTCCTCCTGAGGATCCTTTGAATTTCTATAGTTTCTGTTGTAATGACCCCCTTTTCATTTTTTATTTGTTTATTAGGATTTTCTCTCTCCATTTCTTTGTGAGTTTTACTAGATTCTTAATCGATATTGTTTATTTTCTCGAAGAACTAGCTCTTGGTTTATTGATCTTTCTGATTGATTTTTGGGTTTCCATCTCGTTAATCTCTGCTTTGAGTTTTATTATTTCCTTCGTCCTGTTCCAATAGGGCTCCTTTTGTTGGTCTTTCTCCAATCTCTTAGGCGCTGAGGTTATGTTACTTATGTGGGCTCACTTCTCCTTCCCTAGGAATGCTTGTAGAGCTATAAACTTTCCTCTTAACACAACTTTTTCTGTGTCCCATAGTTTTGGTAACTCGTGTCCTCATTTTCATTCGTTTCCAGGAATCTTTTGATTCCCGCTTTGATTTCCTTTCTAAGAGAATAAGTCAAGTATAATCTTCTCCATTGCCCTTCTGGAAGATGTGATAGATCCATCAGGACATCGTAGGGCAGTCATCTTGGTCTTGTAGTTGGAGAAGGACAGGTGGGCATTGCAAATGCTTTTCCTGGCTTCTGCCGCATCTGCCAGCACTTCTGCTATTCTCTCTTTGAGGTCTTCCTTTATTGCATCTGTGCACTGCTTTGCAAGTTTGGATGTTCGCTTGGGATTGCCTGAGGCATATTCCAAACCACGGTGGCAATATGCAAAGAATTTTTGAAGACAGGCGGGTTTTTTGTGGCTATGTCTCTCTTGGCGTTCCTCACACAATCATGAAGGTGCTGAACCAGCCGATCATATTCCTCGTCAATGTTGCCAACAACAGCATCTTCCCATGTTGCAGCAATAGTGCCAAAGAGCTCCCAGTTGGTGGTCATTCTGGGAGTTCTCTTCTTAAACTTTGCAGTTCTTTCTCCCCGCTCTGTGAAGTATAATTTTGCACGAAGGAGGTGGTGATCCGATCCCGTTTGGAATTTTGGAACAACAGCGACATCGGTCATGCAAAACCGTCAATTGAATATGATGTGGTCTATTTCGTTGTGGAACTGTCCACAGGGAGACTCCCATGTCCAACGTTTAGATTGAGCCTTCTGCAACTGTGAGGTACCATGGAGGGTCTTGGTCTACATGATGAACTCAGATAGTCTTTCACCCTGTTCGTTCCATTCCAGGCCATGGGTTCCAATGTGGAGTTCTTCGGCTGATCTTCTTTGTCCTATCTTGGCATTAAAATCACCCACAGTGATCTTGAAGAAGGTGTGGTCTTCTTTATAGAACTTCTCCAGCTCCATGTAGAATTTCTCAATTTCTCCTTCATCATAATTGGATGTTGGTGTGTAGACAATGAAGATAGAAACTTCCGGCAGTCAGCCACATCTATTCAAGTGTAAACGTCCAATTCGGGTTGTTAGGCATTTTAATGAATCAATGCACATGGCCAAGTTCGTGTTGACAAGACACTGATGCCTCCGACGCCTCTTTGATCGCATGTTCAGAGGAAAAATTCTTCTCTAGTGTTGAAAATGGCATGATGTGATTGATGCCTTCTCATCTCGGTCAGACCAATGATGTCGTATTTGATCTTTCGCGCTTGTACCATCATGTCATTGATGGATGCAACCGATGCTAGTGAACGTGTAATGAAAGTACAGAAAATCAATTTTGTGTTCCTTCTTTTTGGCAGCCTAGTTCGGCCTTGAGATTTTATGAGCCTCTCAGATCTCTTCGATAGTAATGTCAATGTGCCCACATACCAAATTCCGCAGGATGGATATGTCGTTCCCAATGTTCTACCTTCTGAAATCCACCACGCCATTTCGTCGGTAAAGAAACAAACAGCACCCAGCCCAGAGAAGGTCAGACCTGAACACCTGAAGAACCTGCCGTCAGTACTCATCAATATGCTGGCTCGGCTCTTCACATACTACCTGTCTGAATGCAAGGTTACATCCCATTGGAAAACCAGCAGCACTGTACTTCTGTACAAGAGGGTAGACATCCACGACATAGGCAACTATCGCCCAATCTGCCTATTGTCTGTCATCCACAAGCTGTTCACTTGAGTCATCCTGAATAAGATTGACAGAACACTAGATGAAGGATAACCATGCAAGCAAACTGGGTTCTGAAAAGGATTCAGAACCACCGACCATATCCACACAATAACCAAGCTGATTGAGGTTTCTCGGGAGTTCAAGATGCCACTCTGTCTAACTTCATTGATTTAAAGAAGGCCTTTGATTCTGTTGAGACGGAAGCGGTCACTGAAGCTCTAGCCAATCAGGGCATTCAAACTCAATACATCAGGATCCTCTGTGAGCTGTAGTAAGGATTCACTACCAGGATCTCACCATTCTACAAAGAAGTGATCATCGATATCTTGCACACGGCAGTCCCAGGTTTGATATCTGGTATTCCATATAGTCTCCCAAGCACCACCAAGTGTAATTCCTGTGTAAAGAGCCAGGAGTAACCCCAGAGAATCACTCGGTATGATCCCAAAACAGAAAAATAAAAAGGGAAATAAGTCAAATTTTCACTACTTGCAAATGACATGATAATATACATAGAAGACCCTAAAATTACACCAAGAAATCTCATAAGAAACAATAAAACAATACTGCAATGTACAAAGTCAAAACACAAAAGTAAGCCACATTCTTATATATGAGGAACAAATCAGAAAAGAAAGCAAAGGGTATATTTCATTTAAAATAGTATCCATACATAAATAGTATAGGAATCAACTTCGCAAATGACTAGGTGGATCTATACCATGATAACATTAAATCTCTTAAGAAGGACATAGAAAACGACTTTAGGAAATGAAAAATGTTCCATATTAGTGGATTAGTAGAATCAGTATTTTATTTTTTTGCTTTTTGAGTCACACCCAGAAATGCTCAGGGGTTACTGCTGGCTCTGCACTCAGGAATCACCCCCTGGCGGTGCTCAGGGGACCATATGGGATGCTGGGATTTGAACCCGGGTCAGCCGCATGCAAGGCAAACGCCTTACCTGCTGTGCTATTGCTCCAGCCCCAGAATCAGTATTTTTAAAAGGACTATCCTACCTAAGATTTTTCACTGTCACTGTCGCCGTCATCCCTTTAATCATCAATTACTCGAGCAGGCTCCAGTAGCGTCTCTATTTGCCCCAGCCCTGAGATTTCAGCATCATAAACTTTATGCTCTCTCTCTGCAGATGAGGCATGCCAGCTGGATGTCCTTGAGCATAATGGTGATGCGCTTGGTGGGGAATGCGCAGAGGTTGGTGTCCTCGAAGACCCCCACCAGGTAGGCCTTGCAGGCCTCCTGCAGCACCATAACATCCAGGCTCTGGGAGCGCAGTTTGGTCTTAAAGTCCTGTGCAATCTTGCACACCAGCCACTGGAATGCTAGCTGGCCAATTTCACGTAGAGCCAGGGTGTCTGGCCGGTAGTGGTGCGGCTTCTTCAGGCCACCCATGGCTGGCGTGCTCTTGCAAGCCACCTTGTTGGCCATTTGCTTGCAGGGCACCTTCCTGCCCGTTGAATTGCATGTCGTCTGCTTAGTTCAAGCCCTCTTGTTCTTCCGAACTCAGCTGGAGATTACTTCTGGGTTAGGGAAATGAGACCCATTTTAGCTACTGTTATTGCATATTTTGTAGGTCACGGGTGGCTTTCCAGCTTGATACCCTCGGTAGCTTGCCGGACTCTCTGGGGGGAAGATGGAGGCTTTTGGGGCTATCTCTAAACAAGGGACTATAAGAGACCTAAGATTTTACGTAGATTAAATGCAATCCCCATCCAAAATAGATATGGCATTCTTCAAGTACCTATAAAAGTCAATAATAAAGTTTGTATGGAATAAAAAAAAGACCATATATAGCTAAAGCCATATTGACAAATAAGAAATTGAGAGACATCTCATAATCAAATTTGGAACTGTATTATAATACTATAGTGATCAAAACTTCATGCTACTGAGATAAGGTATACTCTCTGATCAATGGGTCACAATTGAATATTTAATGAAAAAATCCCATATATATGTATGCATAGAGAGTTTTTGAAAACGATTCTTCAAACATGAAATGGAGTAAAGATCTTGCACAAATGATACTGGGCAAACTGGGTAAAAAGTGCAAGAAAGTAAAACTTGATCCACATATCTCACCTTGCACAAAAGTCAATTCAAAGTAGTCAGAGAGAGGGCTGGAGAGATAGCACAGCGGGTATGGCATTTGCCTTGCATGCGGCCGACCCGGGTTCGATTCCCAGCATCCCATATGGTCCCCTGAGCACCGCCTGGAGTAACTCCTGAGTGAAGAGCCAGGATTAACCCTTGTGCATCGCCAGGTGTAACCCCAAAAGCATAAAGTACATTAAGGAAAAATTTGGCAGAATGCTCCATATGAATTGGAATTTAAAGGTGTCTTCAATGATCTGATAGCACTATTCAAGGCATTCATTCATTCATCATCCTGTTATTCGTTGATTGCCTCGAGCAGGCCCCAGTAACGTCTCTTTTATCCTAGCCCTGAGATTATATTCAAGGCTCTTTAGGAGAATGAGACCCATCATTGTTACTGGTATTTGGCATATTTGGTACGCCACGGGGAGTTTGCCAGACTCTGCCCAGTGGGCAGGCTACATTCGATAGCCTGCAAGTTTGTCCAAAGTAGGAATGAGATAATAAATGTCATAAAAAGATGTCCTGATAAGGTTTCGCGCAGCCGCGAATGTGGCCGCGCGGTTCCAGGGGCTGGATTTTCCACGTGGCTTTGTCCCTCTGCCAGTACCTTCATGTGTGCGGAGAGTGGTCTCAGCATGGTGGTGGCTGATCCTGGAGGTCTTCGGCTGCCGGAGCCCTGGTCGGGGCAGGGAGGAAAGCTCAACCCGCTCCCATCCAAGGAACCCCGGCGAGGAACAGCTAGGCGCAGGGGCAGGAGACTGCACTGGTGTCGTCCGGGGGCTGGATTTTATAGTCTCCTGCCCCTGCGCCTAGCTGTTCCTCGCCGGGGTTTCTTGGAGGGGAACTTTCCTCCCCGTCCCGACCAGGGCTCCGGCAGCCGAAGACCTCCAGGACCAGCCACCACCATGCTGAGACCACTCTCCGCACACATGGAGGTACTGGCAGAGGGACAAAGCCACGCGGGTTTCGGGGCCGAGATCTCCAAGCCTACTCGAATTGGAGTCGAGCATCCTCCACCCAGATCCTCCAATTTCCAGTAGGCGGGGGTCACACCCATCACCTGGCCCCCTGGCGCCGTGTAATCCCATCAGCGGCCAAGACTCAGAGACTATAAAATCCAGCCCCCACACAAGACCAGTGCAGTCTCCTGCCCCTGCGCCTAGCTGTTCCTCGCCGGGGTTCCTTGGAGGGGAGCGGGTTGAGCTTTCCTCCCCGCCCCGACCAGGGCTCCGGCAGCCGAAGTCCTCCAGGACCAGCCACCACCATGCTGAGACCACTCTCCGCACACATGAAGGTACTGGCAGAGAGACAAAGCCACGCGGGTTCCGGGTCTGAGATCTCCAAGCCTACTCGAATTGGAGTCGAGCATCCTCCACCCAGATCCTCCAATTTCCAGTAGGTGGGGGTCACACCTACCACCTGGCCCCCTGGCGCCGTGTAATCCCATCAGCGGCCAAGACTCAGAGACTATTCAAGGCAACAAAATAAAAATAAACAAATAGCCCTCCAAATTATTAGATCCAGCAAGTGGCTGCAGGGAGGGGAGGGGAGGGGCGGAACTGGTCCTGGCTCCCGTCTCTGGCCCCGTGAGTAGCCTCGGCAGCGGAGAGAACTGGAATGGCAAAATACCAAGTTGAAATTCAGAGTTTGAAACTGGATGATGATTCAGTTATAGAAGGAGTCAGTGACCAAATACTTGTGGCAGTTGTGATCAGTTTCACTTTGCTACCCTGGTATATGTACTTTTCAGGTACTTGCATTATTGCATACTGGCAATACCGTTCATGGCTTGGGGCAATCAGTTGCTCAACCTTTAGACAAATGGTAACTTTACATTTTCACCAAATATTGATAGTAGTAATATCAATATTTAGTGAAAATTACCAGTCTCAGAATATTTTGCCACTGCATCAAGATATTAATGATTATAAGTGGAGATTCTCAGGGCAGCCAAGATATATTCTGGAAATAATTATGGATCTACTCACTTTATTGAGGCAAGCATTCTTGGAAACTTTTTCAGTCGGAGGCTTTTTTTGGATGTTTCATATCAGAATAATACTTTGTTTAATGGGAGTTTTTTTATATCTTATATCTACTTCGAGATATTTTACCTAAAGCATAGTTTGGAATCTTAGGATTTCTAGATAATTTCTTTGTCATCTTTTTGTTGCTAATCTACATCTCTATTATGTATGGAGAAGTGATAACACAGAGAATAAACAGATGAAAAAACAATTTACTAAAATATTTTAATATGTAAAGCTAGAAACCCAAAGCAGTATTTCATGATTATCCTATGAGCCTAAACCACAATATGACAAAAACTTGATTATCACTTGGCAAAAGCCTGGACAATGTATGACTAGAATTTTTACATGTTGCCGGTTCTATTATTAAGGTTAGAACTGTAATTACTTACAACTGTATCTTGATTCTGTGTTATCTGTAAAATCGCTGGGGGAAATGTGAAATTTATTTTATTTTTTGAATTTTGTGGGGGAGGGTTGGGCAATACCTTGAGATGCTCAGGGGTTATTCCTGGCTATGCACTCAGGCTACGCCTGGCAGGGCTCAGGATGCCAGAAATCGAACCTGGTCAGCAGTGGGCAAGGCAAAACCCCACCTGCTGTACTATCTCTCCAGGCCCTAAAAGGGATGCTTTTATATAATTTTATTATCCCCAAATTCTTTCACATTAATTGGATGCATACTAAGATAGTAAGAATATACACTTGGTCCATTTTTCTTCCTTTGGGTATCAACCTCTATGTTAATATATATTGCTATAACAATCATTTAAGTATTTTGACAATAAAACCTTTGACAATAAAAAACAAATATGATTACATCAAATTAAAACGTTTCTGCATGGCAAAAGGCATATGAGTTAAAATGAAACGACAGATTCTCTGTTCCTCCCCATTCAACAGATGCTGTGTTTTCTTGTACTATGTCAGCCACATACACGAGGCATGATTGTGAAGGTTGTACTGAATAAATTTGTTCATATTGGTTACTTGGTTATCAGGGCTTCCTTTTATTCTAGCAAAGTGGAAATTGAGGCCATCAATTACCCCTTCATTGACTTCAACTACATGGTCTACTTGTTCCGATATGATTCCACACATGACACGTTCAACAGCGTAGTCAAGGCCAAGAATAGGAAGCTTGTTATAAATGGGAAGCCCATATACATCTTCCAGAAGCAAAATACCACCAACATAAAATGGGGTCATGCTGGTAAGTATGTTATGGAGTGCATTGGGGTCTTCACTGCTCTGAAGAATGTTGGGGCTCACATAAAGGAGAGTTCCAAAAGGATCAAAACATCTACCCCTTATGCAGGTGTCCTCATGTTTCTGATGGGCATGAAACATGAAGAGTATGGCAACTCCCTTATGATTGGCAGCAATGTCTCCTGCACCACTAATTGCTATGTCCCCTGGCCAACATAATCAATGACAATTTGGCATTGTGGAGGGGCTCATGACCACGTGACCTTAACTGCCACCCAGAAGGCTATGGATGGTCCCTCTGGGAAACTGGTATGATGACCAAAATAGTGGCCCAGAACAGCATCCCAACTGTCAGAGGCATCACCAAGATTTTGGCAAGGTCATCTCTGTGCTTAACAGGAAGCTGAACAGCATGGCCTTTCATGTCCTCATCTCAACGTGTTCATTATGTATCTAACCTGACACCTGGAGAAAGTTGCCAAATACTAAGACATCAAAAAGTGGTGAAGCAGCTGTATACAAAAGCCAATTCAAATGGATCAAAGATCTTGAGATTCGTTGAAAAACTGTAAAGAACTTGGAGGAAAATATATTCATAATGCTTCAATATTTAAACTACAGAGGCATTTTCAATTATTTGACACTACTAGCAGAAGCAATAAAATAAAATATAAATTAATGGGACCACATAAAATGAAAGAGCTCTGCATGGCAAAAGAAACACAGGCTCAAACTAAAAGACAGATGATGGAATGGGAAAAGTATTTGCATTCAACACATCAGATAAAGGTTAGTATTCAGAATATATATATAATAAAAGATATAGTAATATATAGTGAAATATATAGTAAAGGTAAATATCAACAAAAATTAAAATTACTAACAAAAATAGGGAGAGGAAATGAATAGAAGCTTCTCAAAGGAAGAAAGGTGGATGCCAGTAGGTACATAAAATGTTAAGTATTACTTATCATTAAAGAAATTCAAATCAAGAAGAAAATTATATACTACCTCACAGCAATAAGAATGACACATATTAAAATAGAAACAATCTGTGTTGGAGGGAATATGGTGGAAAAGGTACTCTCA